CTCAATAAATTCTTGATTTGGTTGCTGGTTGGTTTAATCATGGTAGTATCATTCAAGTAGTTGGATGGTCGACATGATTTTTGATTTGATCAACATGTAAAAATAGTTCTATGTTAATTATTCCTCAACTTATTCGTAATCGTAAAACTTTGTTTCTTAATCTAATCAATGGATTCATTCGAGTGAATTTTTGTCGAAATCCAGGGATATGATACTTTTTGGCTCCAATTCTGAAGCCAATTGGGGCCTATCAATACCCCACCCTTTTCTACATGAAAGGACACAAAAAGCATTGGCATAATCCTGAATTTTTGAGTGTTAAAGTGTTGTAAAAAGTGCTAGAGTCCTCCTCCTCCCTTTCTAAGTGTTGAGATCATTTAAGAGAGATGTAAAACTTGTAAGAGTTATCTCCTAAGCTCTTGAAAACAAGAAAGCTGCAAAAGGTTGTTGGTCTTCACCTATTGAAGGAAAACCATTAGGCAATGAGATAGCAAATGATTGTATATTTATGATTATGAGAGTAATGATTAAGATTTTAAATTATCACAAATTATTCTCTAAAAAGTTTAAACTATGAGAATTTATTTCAGTAAGAGGTTCGAATAATATCATCTTAATTATATGAGAGAATAATCTATCTTCTGTCTAAGGATTTAAATCAACAGATAGGACATTATATATGATTTTATATCATTCGCATAGGAAGAAACATGACAAATTGGGTGTCGAGGGATGGAGATGACACCGATCCTCACATCTTCAAACTTGGCTTGCGAAAGAAGCATTCGGATCCAAAGGAACACGAAACGGATTCCATCAACCCTCCCTCGCGATTGGCTTGCAATTACCAAAGATCCACCAGCCAATCGTTGTCGGGCTTCGTGATCCAATTGGATTCTAGTAGTGGGTCCCAACGACGACACCAACGTGTGCCGAATGATGTCCTATGGCTAGATATCTTTGCTCGAACGTGTGCCGATGAGATCGTCGACGTGTCGAAGGGGGGGAGGAGGGAGGAGGGAGGGGGCAATAATAACATCGCTTTGCCTTGCGAGGCATCCCAAATCGATATCAAATCTACATGTGATTGATTACTTGGACGAAAACGACTAATAATAATAAGAATAATACAAAATGATTTCTCGAAGCTCCATCAAACTCATTTGTATAGATGAGATAGGTCGTGTCGACTATATCATCAATAATTCTTTGATAATTTGATTCGATTATGGAGCTTGAAACGATTGGATTCTCCGATGGCCTCATACATCTTATAAGTGTGGAATCGTAACTTAGCAATGTTGGAAGTTCAATTTTGTAACATGAATTAAATGAGAATTGTTGGATCCAAATTAACCACCGATCTCATGTCACCAAGTTGAGTTGACCTGATCAAAGATGAAACATGGATTAATGAGAGTTGTTGGTCATGAAGTTAAGTCAACCTAATTCATTTCTAGTTGAGAACCAAACATCATCTGAGATAAATGCTCTTTCAAACATATCTCTCAAAACTTATATCAATAGAGTCTTATGGTAAAATTGTTGGGACGTTTAGATTAGTAAAGATATGAGGTAAAGTTTTTTGTTGAATTAAATATAAAAAAGACTCTTATTTATATTTTTATGGATTATGGATGGTCAAAAAAATATTCTTCTGAAAAATAATTTTCATTTGGATCCATACTAAATTGAAGCCTCCATCGATTGAGAATTTTAATCATATCAATAATTATAGAGATCGAATATTAAATTATTAGTATTAAAAATTTTAATTAGATAAATGAGACATTTATTGGCTATGTGCTCAATAAATGCAACTTTTCCCATCTAACTCTATGTGTCTCATTTCTTGGACATGAGGAAAACTAATGGTTGGCACAGTGACACACACAAGGACACTAATTATTATAATTAATGAAGACAGGCCCATCTTCAATTATTCCATGCATTATTATTATTATTATTATCATTAAAATTTTTGGTAGCATCTACACATTAAAATTTTAATTTGATATATTTCCCTCCAAAGCTTTTCATTGGAACTTTTCTTCTTGTATACACCATTTTATTATCATTTAAATGGATATTGATAGATCATTTCATGGGTTTTCTACACCAATGCCAAAACCTATCTTCTTATCGTCACTCTTCCTTCTTGTTCCATCGAGAGTAGGAGGGACATCAACTCCTTCCTTCCATCCAAAACAAGTCCTACATCAATTTCTCTACAATCTTCTTCTAGCATTATATATCTTCGATAACTATGGTATAATATTTACGTCGAGCAAAGGCCAATCTAGAGATGGATTAAAAGAGTTAGGACCTAATGATCGACAAGGAATTACTAGCATTTAATGGCCTTAGTTTGACTATATGTCATGCAACTATGCTTTTAGTTTAATTATAATTGAAGTCTCTCGTGACAAACCATAATTGAGAATCGACCATTGTTTGCAGCTAAGGATCCAACTCCCACTTATATTAACAAATTAAATGCGTTGATATTGGTGATAATGTTGAATGGTCATTCGACGAATTCAGAAGACGTTGACCGATCTGAGTGCTAAGATCTTTGGCATCATGCACACATCCCGAAGCTCGTGATTCAGCCTCGCTTGCCTTCGAAGGGGCATGTCGAGGGTTGCTCCGTCGTCGAAGTGGTGGGGATGTAGTTGAGGAGTTTGAGTTTGGGTCAGTTGCCCTTGTGATATTTATGTTGACACTATCAGGGATGAAAGACTAGTAGCTTAGTGGTTGATGATGTTTCCTTGAAATTAAGTTTCGAAGCTCGGTTGGATTAGTAAATCCATTTATTTTCTTGCACCAAGTTGTAACCCATTCGCATGCTTGACCAAGAAGGCTCCATAGGCATGATCAACTCGGAGTCAACACTTGACCTAAGCACGACCCATTTCCGAGTCTAGGGTACTCGAGCTCGATCTTGATATACGTGAGTTTAATACATTTAAAATACTCAAAGTATTTCTTTTGTACATGATGCATTTGCTCGTAAGTAAAAAAGAATTAAGATATTCCTTTATGTTTGATGCGACTGCTAAGGACATGAAAATATTTAAAGAGTCTTTGTATATGATGTATTTACCTAGAATAAAAAATAAAATATCTTTTATGATCAAAATGGTTCTTTGAATATGATGTGCTCACCCATGATAAAAAATAAAAATCTAAAAGTGTCAGATACAGTTGAAGCATTAAAAAATATATGAAGCATCCAACGAGATTGAAGTGTCCTCTTATATGATACATTCACTTTTGACGAAAGTATAAAAGTTCTCGATATGTCGTAATCGATAAAGTATCTCTTTATGCATGACACATCTGCTCAAGGTATAAGCATCAAAGTATCTAATGTGACTTAACTGTACAAAAAATTTCTTTTACATGATACATCCACCCAAGACAAAAAGCATCAAAAAGTCAAGAATTAATGTAAATAAGGTTTTTAATGCTTATCTATAACGATTTTTAATTCTTTCTTGTTGTTCTTCATGAGTGTTCTTTTGTAGGTAGCATATATGAGGTAGTAAATGCTATAGTCAACCCTATTTTTGTTTATTGTTATTTTTTATTTTTATTATATAAAAATTAAAAATATTTTTAGTTGTATAATGTCATATTTTTATGGACTTAGTTAGATTTGCTTAAGTCATGTGGTATTCTTACATGTCCGTTTGTAAAACGTCAGCTTCCTCATAACCTCTTAAGGTCTCCTAAAGACCTGTCAAGGAAAAGACAAGTTAGAAAAAACATTATACTCAAATTCTCACTAAGTAAATATTTTAGTAAATACTTGATAAATAATATAAATTATAATCATAAACTTTGTAAACTCTAAATGGTCATACAACAAAGGGTTCATAGCGGTTCGTTATAGCCAAAAGTCCCCATAAATGCCCACATAACATTACCAGAAAATAAAACAACAAATCAACCCTAAACATTACTCCAAAAGCTCATCTAGTTGTCATGTGCCACCCGAGTAGCTTTAGAGCCTGATATCTCATGCCACTCTATAAAGTCAGAAAATACCCAAAATGATTACTTGGATGATCAAATAGTTTTGACTCTTCGTGATGACCGCACATAACTTGCGTGTACAGGGCTCAAATAATCATAGAATCTAATCAAAATATGGTCACTAAGCCTAATATAAGCCCTATTTATGCAGTATAAAGTATGTACAAAATTGAAAAACATAGACACATAGATATATTATATTGAATACATTGTGTACATACTCGTTCATGACCATGAAGGGAAAAATAGAATAGAACATTTATATTCTCATGTGCTATAACCTGATTTCTAGCTAACGATTTTGTGGTGTAAAATGTCAGTTGTCTACGAGGGATGTTGTAACATCTTTAGTGTGTTTGCTTTCTGTTCAATGAGGGTTGAAATCCTGACAGGGTTAGTTAGAGATCATAGTCGAAAGGTTGATGAATGACATAAGAGAATCTGCGTAATAATCACAACAGCAAGTAAGGGACTTGACAACTCATGTATCAGTACTCATACAAGCTATGCATGTGAGCGGAGAAATGTCTCATGGCTATCTCTTGTTAAGAGTAAAGGCTCCCAAATCATAAAAATTCAAGGGTGCTTGGGATGCCAAGAAGTTAGAATACTTTCTCTTCGATATGAAATAGCAATTCAGAGGAACCCAACCCAAATCAAAAGATTCCGAGGTATCGTTAGTGATGATGTATCTAGTCGATGACGCAAAACTATTATGACGTATAGGAATAAATGCAGCAAGGTCATCATAACATAAGCAGTTGGAATGCATTAAAGAGGAAATTATGAACTTAGTTCATGCTAGAGAAGATATAATTCATTGATCGTCGGAAGTTACAACACCTTCGCCATACCTCTATAGTTCGAGATTATGTGAAGTAGTTTTCTTTGCAAATTCTAGACATCCAAGACATGTTTAAGAAAGATAATTTTTTTTGCTTCTTTGATGATCTAAAACCATGGGCAATGGCGAAAGAGGTAAAGGCACATGACAACCTGTTGATGTTTATGGGCATGAAGATGAATGGGAAGACAACTTGCGAATTGGTTGACATATGAGCCACACACAACTTTATAATAGACTGAGAAATAAAGCAACTTAGATTGAAGCTGATAAAGAATCTAGGTTTCATGAAAGTAGTCAATTCTAAGGCATAGCCTGATTGGTGAAAGGAGTTGACATCCAAATTGGAGATTTGAGTAGGAGCACCAACTTTATGGCACTTTGCTTGGACAATCATTCTTAGTGTAGAGTTTCTATAGATGGCAAAAATAGTAACCATGCTATTTTTGAAGTCTTTTTTTCTTATAGACGGTGGCTCTCCATACATTGTGGCACGTTTGAGAAGAGCATCAAAAGACACATATATATACCCTCAACTATATGATGAAAGAATTGATGCGGGGACATAGACTCATCCCACAATAATAAAATTAGAGTCAGAAGGCCTCAAACGGAGGGTGCAAGATAGAATGACAATTTGAACTTAATGAAGGAGTCAAAAATCTAGTCAACTATCCATATTAAGCATCATTTCTGAAATGGGAGAATCCCTGAGACCTATCAAACAAGATACTGGATGAGAGATTATTCAAGAGTTTATCTTCTCTCATGAGTATCTCGGTGCTTTTGAGGGGCAAGACCCGACGAGCAATCATCGATACCAAGCAAGTAGTGAAAGAATTAAAGTTGGTAGAGACCATACAACAAGTAGATGATGGTGACCACATCGAAAAGTTTCAATTTGATTAGTGGAAGGTTAGTAAGAAAATACTTTCTAAGTCACTAAGTGTATAGAAGCAACTAGTCGGTAGAGACAAAGTATTATAATGACCTCAAATTCAGGAGAGACTCAACTATCCAAGAAGAATTAAGTCGAGAAAACATTAAACTAAGATCATGAATAAATGGCACATAGATGATCCCAAAGATGCGGCCAAAGCTATCATAAAAGCACTTTACATGGGTGAAACCTAGCTTAGGTTTGAGTAATTGTCACGACCCGAGAGTTAACATAATACACTCATTAAGCCCATATAAGCAAATTATAATCACAGACTATTTTTAATGTAGGAATAAGTGGAGTGTTACATTTTTTGGACCAAAATACTTAAGCGGGAATTAATATAATACACTCATCAGGCCTAAATAAGTCAATCATACTTATTACTCACTTTCGATGTGGAACTAATGGGATGTTACAACTACACTAGTACTTCAGAAATGTAATGGCAAAGAGTAAACAAAGTTAGTAACCGACGTAGAGAAACGAGTACAACTTGTGAAATTTGAGTGAGCTCTGCAATAATTAAAAGTCTCAAGCAAACTTTATGGAAGAAGGCCATAGACTCTTTTAAGTTTTATGACATGGCACCAAAGAAGCTCCAACCAACAACAATCAAGCTTTTGTAAGGGGATACCTCCAAGGGGCTTAAAAGCAAGCATGAAGACTCTTCTTTTGTCAACTAACAGATCCAAAGGACTCAGCGAGAAATGTTCCAACTTCGCCAACTTTCCTAGTTGAATAACTCAGTTGTGAATTACAACAAAATAGACGGATCAAAGTCAATAACTCAACAAAAGTTGAGAAGCACAATAAGTTCAAGTTGATTAATTTTTAACATATAAAAAGATTTTGATAACGACATCAAAAGAATAAATGGGGAAGAATGTTATAGAACAAAACAAATAAGATGTTTGACACTTGTCCACGATGATTTTCGATTCTTGTTTTTCATTGTTCTTTATATTTTTGAGTGTTTTTGTATGTAATATGTATACAGCTAAAAACACTGTCATCAACCTTATTTTTGTTTATTGTCAATATTTTTGTTAGGTATTTTCATCATGTAAAACTCAAAAATATTTTTGATTGTATGACAGGAAATGGCCCAAAGCAACCATGTTCTCTTAGGCCGCAAGCTAATTTTTTATTAATAGTCTTACGATTTGAAACTTTTGTTGTCTCAACACCTTAGAACTCTTGAGTGGCGCTAGGGCGGATTAGGCCTTGGGTATATATCTGAGGGGTGATGTAATGTTTTAGTATGCTCACTTTCTATTCGTAAAGTACTAAGTGAATATTGAGTCTGCATTTACCTTCGGAACATCATTTGTGTACACTCGTTTCACCCACTATTGAGACTTTTTTGTGCCTAATAAAAATTAGTTAGTTTGTGTTGTTTGTTATTTCAATTATCTTATCATTTTTGTATACGATGATGATGATATATTATCTGCATGTTTGTCTTTTGAACCTTTTTTTTGCTATGCAGGTCCTTCATGGACTACATGAGATGAAGGGATAGACTAACTCTTACAAATGAGTATTGCTTGTATTGCTTGGGTGTCATATATCTTAAATAATTTTAGCTAAGAACGTAACAAAAGTGTTAGATATGCTTAACCAAATAAAGAGCATTAGTTATATATAATGCATCCATATCGATGGGCTTGTTACACCTAATTTTAAGATATGAAATAAATGTTTGCCTTCAAAACAAATTTACTCGATTCAACCTTCAATTAATAAAAATAAAACCTGAATATAACGATAAATTATCAAAATCTTTATTAGTTAAATTAGTTGACACCGATATATTTTACGTTGATAACCTTATTTTAATCTTATTTTGGGTGGTTAAACGATCACATATTCCTATGTGGCCACATAAGCCGAATTTGGAATATTATTACAAGTATGAAAAGTTTGGTTGACTGCATTCCATCATCCCAAGCTTTTGATTGGTTACTGAATTGCCAACAGACTGCACAGCTCACCCTAAAGCGATATGCCATCCATTGACGTACTGCCACGTGCCAGGACAAGATCCACCAGCCAACACTCCCTCCCGCTCTACAATACCGACTCAGCTGCACTCCCGAGGCCATCTCCTCTCTCTGCTCCCGTCTCCATGGCAGCAGCCTCGGCCACGGCCGCCCTCCCCGGAGCCACGGGAATGGGAGCGTCGGGTACTCCGCCCTCCAGAAGGCCGGGCGGTCGCTGTTCTGTGGGTCCCCGCCATGGCCACGTACAACGCCAAGCTGATCACCCCCCGAAGGCGAGTTCAACATCGTGTGCCCCGACGACATGTACATCCTGGACCAGGCGGAGGAGGAGGGCATCAGCCTACCGTACTCTAGCCGCGCCGGCGAGATCGTCCAAGGGCAGTTGGACCAGTCGGACGCCAGCTTCCTCGACGACGACCAGATCACCGCAGGCTACGTGCTCACCTGCGCTGCCTACCCCAAGTCCGACCTCGTTATCGAGACTCACAAGGAGGAGGAGCTCACCGGCTGATTCATGTCATAATGACATTTAGTTAGGGATCAAACTCTTTTGCGTCGTCGTAAGATCGATAATCCAAAGTCAAATCTTAGCTCACTGTATTTAATATTAGATTTGACTCTGAATCCAATCCAATTGTAAATTACGTCGGATTAAATGAATCTGCACTATTCTGCATGTGAATCCATTAGTCGTAGTCATCAGTCATGCTTATTATTTTGTTGTAGGTTGCAAATTTTCTTACGTAAATCATATGAATCCCATGGTGGGCTCTGATTGTCCTCTGTGAATCATGTGATCCTTAAGACAAAAAAGGAAAAAGAAATCGCATTTCAACACACAAAATTGGAAACAAAGAAGAACAAGGATGCATGAATAGACTTTTTTTTTTTCCTTTTCAATCTTAGTTTTCATGAGGCCGGAAAAAATGGCACAAAGCAAAGGAGAATCAAAATTTGTTAGTAATACGCTCATTAAATCCGTATAAATAAATTTAAGTTTTAGTTTATTTATGGAGAATCAAATCATGGCGTAACTATCTTCCTTTTTTTAAGTCTTAAACATCTTCATCCGTGATTAGTCATTTTCTATCCGAGTCTCTCACTATATCTTAATACTAAGTGAGATAATTAGTTGTTCTGACGACTTTTGACTTTGTTGAATTTGAATTATTCATCCAAAAATACTTAACATCAAATTAAACAATAGCTTAAAATTGATGTGTCTTTCAATTCTTTAAACAACTCAAAATAGAGTATCCAAGTATTTGTCATGCCAAGACTCCACCATTAAGTTCAAGTTTCTGACAGTGGGTGTATATAGATGCCCTTAAGACCAGCCATGATGCCCTTAAGAGATGTGCACTGGGATCTTGAACCAATTACCAAATGTTTGTCATTTACATTCTGACAAACAGTTTGCGCTCACCAAACCCACCTAATTCTCCTGTTCTCTTTGGTGTACCTAACTCCCTCGGTCCAACACTTTGGCAACTTCTCTAAAGCTTCACTCGGTGGAGGACAGACAGGACAGAGGATGACAGAACGTGTGGTACACAATCGTGAAGGACAAGCTGGTTGGTACAGGAAGATGGCCGAGCCACCAAGGCTGTGAGTCACCGTCTCTCGATGATCAAAAGCTCTCTAGAATCTGACCCCACTCCATTTTCTTGCACGGAGGAGTGAAGGACTCGGAAGCACAACCCGAGATTCACGTTGAGAGAGAAGAGGAAGTAGAAAACAGTCCAACTGTTGGCCGTCCTTTGTGTCGTCATCTGGCTGCCAAACTCGAACAAACCACCAACTCTCATGCTATCTTCGAAAGATTCCAGTCCTGTGAGCAATACAATGCATGTCAAGTGGACAAGGAGATGGGGCTCGGAGTGCCACCCTCCCATGCACATTGAATGGTTGATGTGAAACGGCAAGTCATGTTAAGAAGCCAATGCGAGTGTCTCTGATTGATTACTTCTGTTGGCTACGGAATCTATGCAGCAAAAGAGATGATCGTCAAGCTTCTGTTCTCAAGCTTCACTGGTCCACAGAAAAAGGAAAACAGAAGAAGAAGAAGAAGAAGAAGAAGAAAAGGATTTACCAGTAAAACCAGAGGATACCTCTCATCAAACCAGGTTGCTGGTAACCTATCAATTCATAGGAGGAAGAATATTGGATTCCACTGAACAAAACCTTCTGTTTGCTTAAGAAAAATGTCAACCACTGGGTTAAACACCATGAGCACCACCACTTTCCCTTCCATCTGGACCCAGCATCTGTTATAGATTCTGAAATGAACACAACTATATCCAGCCTTCCAATTTTTCAGTGATTCTTGCTTAATTAATGGGCAAATTCTTCAACAACAAAAAAAAAAAGGTTCCAAGTTTTTTTTCTTATTTCTGGTAGAAAAAACTTTGTTTTTTGCTTTATTATGGCAGAATGCCCCTTCCTTATCATCTTTACCATTTTACCCTTGATCTTCGCTCCATCATGGTCGTCTTCGCCCTACGAGGCCCTACCGCCTATGAACACCCTCTTCGTCACGTCCTTGCAGAAGCTACTAGGACCCTCGTGTATGCCCTCGCCCTTGTCTATCATTGTCATTGAGCCGATCTTCGTCGTCACCTTATTAATTTACCAGCAACCTCCGCTAGACATCTCCATCATGTCCTTGTTAGCATCGCTTGCGACATCACTCGGTTGACCAATGACGATGAGCCATACTTTGCTCACTCAAGTGACATGGAGGGTAGGTTGTTGTTCTCATCATCTTTTAACTCCTTTCGAGCTACTCTGCTTCCTGAGGGGTGAAAATAGTGGACAATGAGCGAGTGACGATGGAGGGAGTGAGAGTTGATGCTTGGGCGCTTGATGTTGAGACCGAGAGCAAGCAAGGGCCTCACGATGAGATGGAGGTGGCCATGACAGAATGACAAAGCAAAGATGATCATGACGGGCAAGAATAATCTCATCTTTTAGAAAATAAAAGATGTAAAGGGGATACTATATGAAAACAAAATAAAAATCGGAGACTTTTTAATGAATTTATCCTCAATTAATTGAAGGAGTTTACTATTTAGAGTCACCTTCTTATCATTCATAATCTCTTAAAAAATTAAAAAAATAATATCTTCTAGGTTAATGCAGGAAGATGATATCTTTTTTACTATCATAGAATGTACATACCTTTAAAAATGTTAAATCATTATAACAGGCATTAAATACTATTTCTCACATTCTTCTTTTCGATCTTCGATTTATTTATCTTCGTCATCTATCTTTTCTTTATCATTTTATGTCATCTCTGACAATTAAAAAAAGGAGAAGTAAAAAAAGAGTTCCTAAGTTAAGAGTGAAAAAATATTATTAGAATTAAGTTATAAATCATGAGTATATATGTTAATTTATAGAGGAATAACTTAAGAATATGATATTATAAATAATAAAAAATTACAAATACTAATCTCTGAACTATGCTATAAGAACTGTTTCTTTAACTTTTTTTTCCTTGTTCATTCCTTCATAGAGCACAGTAAGATTCTGACAATCATGAGCAGTTTGCTTGGAAAAAGAAAGAAAAGGAAGGAGAGAAGACATTTGTTGATGTACAACAACAAATGCTACACTCAGCACAAAGACACAATCCGACCAGCCTTCTAGCTGGAGCAAGTTTCGATCTCTTACCAAACTCTACACCTTTTCATTTGTCTCTCTGTCCTTAATTCTTTACTGGATGTTTGGCTACCTACCTGGAACACCTCACATGCTCTCCAACCATGACAAAAGCTTCCCATCACACTTCAGATGCTGTAACAGTAGTGTCAACACTTATCATCGTGTTAAACATGGATGAGTGAAGCTGACTATAACAGTAGTCTTACATTCTGCATCATCTTAATCCAGTGGTGGAATCCATTACAGTTAATGTGTGTGTTGCCCTTCTTCCAAGGGTCTGTAGTATCTAAGAACATGATGGCTAGGGTTTTCTTGACAGCTGCAAGTTTCGCTGCTTTGGAGACCCAGGTGGTAACACAAACAGATGGCACGAGCATGACGAGGTGGGACTGCTGATGTAGGACTGCTTGTAGCATCTGCCGCTGGATCAGCCGCTGCAAACACCTCCGACGGCGTCGGAGAAGAGAAAGAAAGGCTCATCGAGAGGTCGAGGTTGAGGTCGGGGCACCTCTCCTTCTCCGCCGGCGAGGTAGCACTCGATGGCGGCTTCAAGGCTTTCCCTGGCGTGGCGGCACCGCCGTGCACCGGGAGGTGAGTCTGCGGGTCGATGCCGCGGCCGACGAGCTTGCGCTTGATGTGGGTGTTCCAGTAGTTCTTGATCTCGTTGTCGGTCCTTCCCGGCAACTGCCCGGCGATGACAGACCATCTTACTCGGACAAAGCATCGGCGTCAGAAGAGAAGTAGGTAGTAACTCGGTGAGCAGGAGCATCAAGCACGAGTCTACCGAGACATTACTTGTTTCCGAGCAAGCCATGGAGCTTGATGATGAGCTCATCCTCCTCCTCCGTGAAGTTGCCTCGCTTGAGGTCGGGACGGAGGTAATTGATCCACCGAAGCCGGCAACTCTTGCCGCACCGCAGAAGGCCTACATCAGGAACGCAGTTCAAGCGAGATAGAAGCGCAAGCATGAAGTGATCAAAATGCCCGTGACATGAACCACAGAGACCTGCAGCTCTGGGGAGAGATCTCCAGCAGCCTTCGCCATGGGCTTTGATGTAGGCGATCAGCAATTGGTCTTCTTCCTTGGTCCAAGCTCCTCTGTTGGTGTGTGCCTTCTCACAACAAGGAGACCTGCCCATGATGAGTGGTAGAGGGAAGAAGCACTTGTGGTGGAGGTGGGCATGGATTAACAAGTGAAAGAAGAGGGTATTCTATGTGTGTGTGTATATATATATATATATATGAGGGCATTGACTTCATCCCCTCACTGCCTTGTCCATTTGACCAAAGTAGGTAGCCCTAACTTTTACAACACCTTTATCTCCACTATTCTTGCTGTCCTTTCACCACACTTTTAATTAAGTTAGGCAAGAGAATGGAGCTGTCTACCATATGGTGTTCGAGTCTTCCTCGGCCATGCCATTTTGCAGTAGCTCTGGGACAAGTTGGCCTCAGTCTTAACTGTTACATTTCTGGTTGAAGTGTGCAGTTCTCCAGACTCTGAAAGCAATGCAATAATGGTTGGGTGGGGGGGACAATATTCCATTGGAGAGCTAAAGCACATGCCTTCTGAGCCACTAAGAGCTGTCTGCTTCAACTGCAATGGATTTAAGTATTGGTTGGTTGGGAATTGGGATCAGATGATTGTGCTGATATATCAATGCTTGGCTTTTGGCAGTGATCTTGAGCTGCAGATTCAGTGGATAATTTGGAATGCTGTCCATTGAGAGTGAAAGCATGCACATACCACATTAAATTAAGGACTAAACCAAATAAAAGCTCATGGCTCTCACCAAACCAAGGATTCACTGGTTGCATTCCATGTGGTCCTTTGAATGCATGTACCACATGATATGGCAGAGTTCTGAAAATGACATCCCTGACAATTAATTGTTTCACACTGTGACAAATATCAAGAAGACTGATACAGGGAGAGAAGATGCATCAGATCCAACTTATGGGTTTTAGATGCAGATCAGCTTACAGAGTTTTATTTGAAAATTTATGTAAGGGGCAAGGAAAGGTGCATCTTAACTACTCCAGACTGGAAAAGGAACTAAGAAGAGAGAGGAGGGGAGACCATTAAACTATATCCAAACACATCCACAGTAGGTAGTTCATTAAACAGTAATTGATAGCAGCCTGTGATCTGCTTGTTTGCAACTTCGCATGTGGGGAAAAAGAGGAAAGGATTTCTGTGAAACCAAGAATGGAACAATGACAATTGAGCTTTCTTCTTGCCCAGCTCAAAGCATTTATTATCCTCTGATGTACCACCTCATCTACAACTGAAGCTTGACACAGCAGCAAGTGGAGTTTTTTAAAGCAAGTGCAGGGCAGATGATTGGCTCCCTCTGATCCTCCTTGTGGGGGCAACAAAAATGGAGGTTGGAGAAGTCACTAGGATCTCCACCACCACTTCTATGGCCTTGGCTCAAACCTAAAAGAGGCCAGGAATTGGATGGCACTAGTTAAAAGTTGAGGATTTTAAATGTAGTGATAGTCCTTAAGATCTTTAACTAAGAATCTTTCAGATTTTGTGCATGCAGAGTCTACCATTGATTTATTTTTCTTTTGAAAAAAGATAGAAAATAAAGTAGGATTGCATATAATTTTGGATCAAGTTCTACCTTTGCAACCAAAACAAATTATCTTGATCCTGCAATGCATACATGATTAAGACTTTTGTCTGACAGCCATATGTAAAATTGCCACGAGGAGAGAGGGTGTAAATAATCTAATTATGCTCTATGTTCAGGGATTTCAAACAAGTAGAATTGTCTAAAATGATGTACAAATCAGAGAATCAATGCAGGTTATGACATCAGCATCGAACCAAATTATCTAAACAAATCACTTGGACCAAGTAATCATTGTTAAGGACCATAAATGTTTAATTCACTGGAGTTACAACATACCTATCCATGTAATTTTGCATGTGAGGACTTAGGTGCTCCATCTTCTTTCCAATAGTCGTGCCAAGTTCAGGAGGAGTTGCTTGCAGGATATTCTTCTCGTTTATCTCTTCTAGGGCTAAGTACTGCTGAAGAATATACAGATATTCAATAGTAACAGCTTCACCTGGGAGGTCTTTCTAGGGCAACCCGACCAAACTTTCCCTTCCTGAAGTCACTCAAGATGCGGAAAGCTGCCTGGCTAACATCTCCATTGAACAGTTGAAGAGCAAGCTTCTGAAGAAATCTGCAGCGATTGATGCCAAGAAGACCAATTAACATTCAGGGGCAGCAGCAAGGTATAAGTAGAATTTGTGAAAGAAGGAAGCATACGTTTTACCACACTGATCATGTAAATCAATCCTGTAGCGTTTACGAAGAGTTTCTGAACCTGTTGCATAATGTTCTGATTAGCAGAGAGGGGAAATGAGAGAGAAAACGGTCTCCTAACTGTTTAATTTATAAACCTTTAGAGCAGCACGAAAGTGTAAAGAGCATGAAAGTGTAAAGTGCAAAATGCATTTAAATAGGACGTTGTACTACGAACTCACTGTTTACAAACAGAAGTCTAGTATGTGGGCTGAAATATACACAAAACACCTGTTTAGTAAATAGTGGAGACTTGGCTATCAACTGTTGAATCCCATTTTCTTTGTGCATATCTGACCCACACAAGTGGTTATTAACCGTTAACAAGTTACAGGGTATCACCATTAACAGAATGTTGTCAAGGGGTATTAACTATTTATCGAGAAAAAAATGGAGACAGCACTTTTCTAGCCAGCAAAATAAGCACTCAGGAGATTAGCTGAGTCCAAGCATGGGGCTCCCAACAGTGAACAGCTCCTTGCAATACAGAAAAACTATCTAAGACTGCTACGTTTTCAAGGATAATGATTCTCAGTCCATGTGAGCTCAGAGTCTCACATGCTTAATAACATTACCACCACATAATTTGTGACCTCTATCTTTCATGTACAAGATAAAAATCTCGGAAAACCTTGACCTTTTGCATTAACGCAAACACATAAGCCATGATGAAAACTCAGAGAAGATAGTGAACTAAAGGGAATGGATGTCACGTGCTATAGGTATTTTTTGTCATGTACATATCTCTACACATGCTCAAAACGATGACCAGCCTTGGTACATTAGTAAGGTCCCTGGCCAGAGTGATCAAGATTCAAGTCATATAAGCAAACTCTTTAATAAAAGGGGTGAGGCTACATAAACTCATATTGGTGAGAGCCGTGTGCCCTGTGTTCATCCTTTTATACATATACGCACCAAGGAGATATATGGATAGATATGTTATAGGAAACTGGGAAAGATGAAATATTTTAACTATTTTGGAGAGTTCACGAGTCAGTGGGAGAAAGAACCAACCTACTTCAGGAAGTCTTGTCAACATTTGCACGAGAATGGCTGCTACATCAGCGACATCGTATGACCTCTCCCCAATGTCATCACATATTGCAAGCTTGATAGCAGCTGCCTGGTCACTAATTCTCATTGGCAATATGCCAGGAGAGTCCAACAACTCCAGATCTTTACCAAAACGTACCCATCTGTCCAAAAACATTGACATGTAGAAACTTCAGAAACCCAAAAAGATTTTCCTATTCCAATGAGATCAAACATAAGGATTTGCAGAGTTTATCTAGACATAACATTGTATATTAGGGTAGATTATCGGTGTCTCTTATAAGAAACCTTTTTAAAAACAATACGTTAATAAAGAGGATATACTTCAGTTCTCTTGTAACTCCAGGTCTAGGAGCAGCTGGACACATCCTTCGCTTCAGCAAACGGTTAATTAGAGATGATTTACCTACATTGGGATAACCAACTATTCCAGCACGCACCTGCACCAAAAACAAGAAAAACATTGACAACATAGCAGTCAAAGCAATGTTCCCAACTTTGAAGGTATATCATACATTACAAACTTGTTATTATAAATTATTTCATGGAGAAAACAAAACCTGAGAATAACTGAACCTATATATAATCCATTTATCATCTTCTACAAGATACTGTTCAGATGAAATTGAATGATTCTATGGAATCAAAGAGAACCTTAGACTTCCATAAAACTAACTTAAAGCATTTGCTGTTTTTCAAGGTCAAGCAAATACATATTGGGAAGCTCAAGAAACAGATGACAATAATTTAGCTTTTTAATAGAATAAAAAAAACTACTTGATAGGAAGTACAAGAAATAGATATTATTGATCAACAAAAAACATGAATTCTTAGTCAGAAGCTTATGCAGCAAGGAGAACATAGCACATCAATGGGGTTGTCCAATGAACCAGAACATAACACATTACAACAGTTACACAGAAGTATAAAGATCTCATATTCTCATCGATCATCGAACAGCACAGATTATACTTAAAGAAGTATACATGAAAAAATAGTTTGATACTTTGAGCCAATAAATAGTATATTATGCCTTATGCTAAGGGAAGCACTTGTGAAACAAATGCTCAAGAATATAAAAAAATCCTTGGTAATTTTTTGTGCTATATAACAAGTGATGTATGAACCCTAACTAAAAGGATTCACTTTGATCAACTCAAACCATTCAAAGTAAAATCCTCCTCATCTTCATAACCAAGCATGTTCCTGGTAGTCATAAACCAAAGAAAACATAGTGGAATAGGGACCATCCGCCTAGGTCACTTGGGAAAGGACAGTAGATATTCACCTTTCTCCACTTCCTTGTAATCTTTTGAGCCCTACATCCCAAATTTATCTACCATTTATGATCTTGAAGGATTCCACTAATACTGGATTCTCGATCAGAGTTAATGATAAAAGGAAATGAGGAATAACAACAAAGTTCAAAAGCTCACTACTGAAATAATTCGACTCAAAGTAAGGATATCCTCTTTAAAAGCCCTTGGGCCTTTTCTTCCTTCTTTTTGCTATACAACGGTACCATGATTTTTCTCAATTCAGTTTCATTCTTTAAGTATACCAGGATGCATGTGTTTTTCGGGTGCATATGCATTCTGGTTAGCTGTTATATACATGTACAAAGATAATAAACTACTTGCTATTAGCAGTCACAACATGCATAAGCCCACATTCTATTGGAATATAGCATTGGTGAGTGCACCCAACATCTTGCTCAAAATTAGGAAAAAAAAGGAATATGACAAAAGATAATATGCTCAAGAAACACTGGAAAATGCATTACTGGACGAGGGAGTAGTCCTTTTGCTCTACGTTTGGTATTCACACTAACAGCTAATGACTTTGCAAGTCTCCCAAGTTTCATGGTTCCCTGCATATGAACAAAAAACTAATTGGTGACCACTGATGACCATAAAAGCAATAGCATGTAAGGATTTGGGTGTACCATTCCAAGCTGCCCATTAGAGAAAACAACTTTTATTCCCTGCCTTGCAAAGAATGTCGCCCATGCATTTCTGTCTGCAGCAGATATCATGTCTTCTCTATTCAAAACTAAAATCTTTTTCCGAGTTCCAAGCCAGGAATCCATCTGGTTACTTAAAGCACAATTGGTTAAAAATTGGCAGTTTGCTTGTAGTTCATGTATAAAAATTACAAAAATAACCTGAGGATGACTAGTAGCCATGGGAATCCTAGCATCTCGAACCTCTATGACAACATCCATTAACTTCAGCTGCTCCTTTAGTTCTTTTTCCGTTTTAGCAATATGACCAGGGTACCACTGCAAAGTTCAAAGTCAAGATTCACTGGTCAACTATTAGATAACGCCACAACATAAACTTCCCATGAACGATTACTAAATGGATTTGCAGTGCAAGATATCAATTCATCAACTAGCTCTGGAGCACACATTATCTTATACCTGCACAGGCCGCAATGGTCTCGTCCAGTGATACAAATCAACCTCCAAGTTTTCCCAATCAATTTCTTGGAGGGGGCCCTGATTCCATTTACTTGAAAGATTGAGTTTCTCTTTTGAGGACCAACTTAGGGATGTTTCAGAAGCAACCTGCAGTACACACTTTCTCAATTTCATAGATCTGTAGCTTGTATACAATTAACATACATAACCAAGAAGCTACTGTCATTTATTTGGCTATTCATCAAGCAATATAACTATCTGCAACTATGTAAAAAGAAGAGCTACTTTTTTAAAAAGGCTTTGATTAATGGCAGGGAAAAGTACTCTAAAAGGAAATAGTTACCTACATGGCACAACCTAGTGGTGTCAAAGACTCACTGATGATAACATAGCCCTCACTAAGATGCTATATCAGCAATTTTACATAGTGAAATATAGACAAGGAAACAGAATGAACAACTTTCTCAGCAGCAACAGGGGATGATTGAGAAAAAGGTTTCTATGTAAGTTTTCCATACAAGAGATTATCAATACGTACAATTACAGAAACTCCATAAGTCTGAATGACTACTAGACGTGCAACCAATAGAAAGGCGGATTAAAGTAGCGAAAATATGTGTAGCTCATATAAGACCGAAACAAGCTAAGCATCATTTGTTCGGGGAAAAAAAATCTATTTTCCACATCATTGTTATGCTACAAAATCAAACATAAAGACAGCATGATGCAAATTAAGTATTTCAATTAATCAAAACAAATAAAACACAGTGCCACCCTGGTAACAATGCTTGCATATAGCCAAGGTAAACAAAGGCAGTTTCAGGCATAGGTTCCGAGAAGAATAATAATTTGTGCCAGAGGATCATACTTTGTCTCAGTTATCTATCAGCAGACAACTTGCCACGGATAGGAACAAATAATAGGATATATCATAAATTACTCTGTGTGATGCTGCCACAATTCATTATCTATCCTCACAAGATGCATATCCTAATGCAGTCTAGAATCTTGTAAGAAAAACATCAGTATTTTTAACAAACCATGCTAGCCAACAACAAGCCATGAAGCCCTAGTTTCGTTCCTAATCAGCAACTTGATCATTGGAATCAAACGTTTAAACAACAAGAACAACAATATCACATCTCGATATCCCAAATTGTGTTCCATTAGGCACAGACAGAGCTCAAAGGAGAAAGTTTTGACAAAATTTGACAATACGAGATATTCTGCTACATAGCAACTGATGATTGTCCTGCTGACTCAGGTGCCGGGCCTTCTCTTGCTCAAGTGCATATACCTTCATCAACTATCAACTAAATCCATTCATCATAGATTCGTCAATCCAACCAACAAAACCGCTTCTTTCATCAGACGAAGAATTTCAAGAAACCGGCTAAAGAGCATAGGGTTTCATCCGGATGAAGGGGCAAAAGGAATTAGAACAGTGCAGCGGGGCGAAGATGATTACGGTCCCAAGAAAGAGTAAGACGAACGGCAGAAGAAGGGAACTAACCACGTTTGAGACGACGAGCGTGGCAGACACGCGGGGGGCGCAGCTCTTCTTGAGGCGCGGAGAGGGGGAGAGGGAAGGGCGCGAGTGGAGGGGAGGGGCCAGCGAAGCCATAGGAGGGTGAGAAAGCAAGCTCCCGAGGGCAGAGACGCGAGCGGGCGAGAGATAGAATGAGTTGTATCAACCGTTGGATCTTCCAAAAGAAAAAGAATATTAAAAAAAAAACTATTACATATTACCAATCTACTTACCATATCGATTTTTAGATTTAAAAAAATTATATTAAAATTTATATAGTTATAAAAGTAAAATATCTAACTTCATTTACACTAATATCTTTAATTTTATCATCGAAAACATAAAAATAATAGGTAAAAAAATAATTTTAATATCCTAATTATGTTTTCGATGATAATGAATGACAACACCACTGGGAGTCGTGAGTGACTGTTATAGATGAGAAAGGAGAGCAACGACAAGAGTTGAGGCAAAGGGAGAGGAGGAAAAGAACGACGCAAATGCCGACACCCTACATATGATTCAACATTGCTTGACAACTACGTTAGCACCAATGCAAATGTAGAACGATGAAATGACCACTCGGTATTTGCATTGACACCGACGCAAATACAAACGTAAAGCAATGCCACTCTACATCTACGTTGATGCTAACAACAATACAGGGAAGGGCAACGTTGCTTTGTAAATGCTAAGCGATCCTTTCGTCACTCTGTATCTGTGTCGACACTAATACAGATGCTAAGCATCGTTGACGTAGATGCGAAGCGACGAAAGAGTCGCTCGGCATCTGCATTAATGCTAACGCAGATGTCGAGCGGCCTTTCATCGCTTAGCAACTGTGTTGGTGCCGACACAATTGTTGAGTGGTGTCGATGCAAATACAAAGCATCGACATCTATGTCATCCGTTTCCTCCTCTCCTTTTGTCTCACAACTTATTATCACTCTTTTTCCTCATCCACAACAGTCACCCGCAGTCCATAATGGTGTCGTCGTCCACCATTACTAAAAACATAATAAGGATGTTGAAAACTATCTTTTTATATATTGTTTTCATACTTTCATCAATAAAACCAATAGCATTAGGGTAAATGAAAGTAGATGTTTCATTTTCATAACTATAGAGATTACAATATAAATTTTTTAAATTTAAAAACTAAAATGCTAAAGAGATCTAATTACATGAGATAATCTATAATTAGCTTTATAAAAAAAGTAATGGTTTTATACTATATGCCATTTTTCTCCTTTGTTTTTGAATAATCTTCCAATATAAAAATTATATATATAATAAAAGATAATTAAATAAATTTCTTTAAAAAATCTCGAAAATTTTATTTTATTTTTTCTGACAATGTACCCTTTTTGATTTATTCATATAAAGCAACCTTTTTTTTTTTAAATATATTATCCTAACCCATATTCTATGAATTATCGTCTCAGATGCCTCAACCATGACGTACAAGGACGAGGACGATAATATCTTTTTTAAAAAAAATAAAAGACGCTCTACAGGGATAAACCAAAAAGAAAACATGAGAAAACACCAGAGAGCCACATGCCAATAAACCAAAAACAACGGATGCTCAATTGGAAAAAGTAAAAAATTTAAAGGTTTCTCTTTTTTTTAGAAATTTGCCATTTATAATTTTTGGTAGTGTTATGAATAAGAAATTAATAAGGAGGATAAGGAACCGTATCGAATTACTAGTTCGACAACCTTTAGAATTCATGGGTATCTTACCATTTTCATTCTTAAGTAATACAAACAAAATGTTTAGGATCAGAAGCATAGCTAAAAAGACACTAATCATTGCATGTCATGATCTATGCTGTCTGAGTTCTTACTGGTCAAAAGTGAGAAACCCTAAGATCCTGAATGAGATGAAGGATGAGAGAGAAACTGATGTGTCACAAAAATCAGTCACAACAGAGAAAAACTGCTAATTACTATTGGCAGTAATGACTACAGGAAATTGGTAGTTAAATGAGGGTTGCCAAGGGATCTAACGAAACAAAGTTGAGATTGAGAATACCTGTAAAAGAAGGTGACTCGGCCAAAAGTATAATTCATCACAAACTAGCATAATACATCTTTGATTTTATCTAATAAATGAGTGGCATCTCATTAGATTTTTGGTAGGCCACACCAATCCACAATCTAGTATAATCACCAAATTGTAAAACAAATGATGGCTCAGCTAACAATTTCTTTTTGTACAAATTTCAAATTTTGATATCAAACTCTTCAATCTCCACAATTAGGATAGGAAGATGCAAAATCAACATAAATTCAAACATTTTTTTGCTATGTATCATATCGCGTAGGCGCATAGTAAAAGAATGAGTTTACACCCTCTGTTATTGGGGATCATAAGAGAAGTAAGTTATGAACATCACAATAGCTTAAAGTGGATTATAAAACAGGGCAGTGCAAGCCAAAACTTCAAAATCCTTTCATGAGTCTTGCGCCCATGCTACCAACCCTGGTACCTGTGAGCCAGATTCTCTTTCTCCTTATAGTACTGCACATAACCGCAACCACCAGATAGAAGACAAGACCACATAAAGATTTCAGTACACCAGTAAAGAATGATGAATCCACAATAGTTGCCTTTATATAAACAAGAATGCAAAATTATCAATAATCACTAGGGACACTAAAGCATCTTTGGAACAAAAGAGCTAATGCAAAGGAATGAATGTACACACATTCCACCAGAGCTGGATATATAAAAGGTATTAGAAAACTGAGATGAGCTTTAAAAGTTATATTTTCCGCACGATTTTCGGAGGATGCATGATTATTTGTTTAAAAACAAGCTACGTTTGGGATTGAATAATGGCTTATATTCATGTATTTGATCTAACTTCTGGCGATTGAAGTGGGAAGGTCAATGAAAATAATAGACTGGTATCATGAAGAAGTCTGAAATCTTAATCAACCTTTTTTCTCTCTCTTCTTAGTTCAGGGACTCAATTATCAAAGTTGATTCAGTTATAGAAGCACAACTTTAAGATATATATGTATGTATGTATGTATATATGTATATATGTATATATATGTATGTATATATATATATATATGTATGTATATATATATATATATATATATATATGTGTATATATATATATATATATATGTGTATATATATATATATCCCCACAGTTTTATATTCTTTTGAATAAGGTTGAAAATCTTAGTCCAGTGCCGATACTGAATTAACAATTGAATCAGTAGATGTTTCCTTACGAATTGATGACCCTTTGAATACTAATGAACACCATTTGGAGTTGTAATCCAAGCTAGGTCAAACTACCAATCAATCCCTCTCAACTTGACCGCCACACTCTGACCCCCTCCCCTTCTCCTTCAGTAATGTCCTACTACCACAAAGGAACATTTCTCCTTGTTTGTGTGATAATTTAATTTTAAGTACACTTCCTTGGAGCGCTTTGAATTCAAAAGAGTGACATGATTTCATCCAACTCGAGATCTCCAACTTCCTTAGAGCATTTGATGATAATAAGTGTAACACCCAGATTAGTCTCCCATCGGAAGTGAACTAAGGCTAAGATTGACTCATAAGAATATGATAGGTTTACTACTAGTAACTCCAGCTTAAATATTGTGATTAGTAGTTTAGACTCAATGAAACTAGTTGATCAGTTATCTCATCAGGTTGGATCATAACAATTGGTATCAAAATCGACCTAGTATTAGGGCATGATGAGAACTTCGAATAGGAAAGGATTACTCGTGGACAGAGCTAGAGAGCACATCACGACGTGAAACCACCACTAGGTATGAATAGTTTAGGCTCGATGAAGCTAGCAAGCCAGTTATCCCTTTGGGTCGTGATAATAGCAACATAAGTGAAAATGCAATTAATATAAGACATGTTCAAACCTTAACCATCACATTTTCTTTCCCTCTAACGACACATTAGAATGAAAGGGAAAGCATGACATCTACCATCACCAACTTAAGGAATAGATATGTCATGCAAAACCACTTGCAACAACCAAATCTTTCTTCAGCAAACTCATAGAACCATGCTAAGCTTCTTCTGTACAACAACCGCCTAAACTGAAAAAAGAATGGAACATTTATAACAAGATAGTGAAGGAACCACATGATCCCAATTCAGAAATCATCTTGCTTAAAACCACATCCTCCGTGGAGAAAATTAATTTTGGGCACTGCCTATTTGAAGAAATAACCTTCCATAGATTATCATTGCACAAATGAGAAAAGAATATCCCTCCAGCCTACACCAGGATCGGAGCAATATTTTCTCTTTCCAGAACCTCATGTTAAACAACCGGCAAAAGCTTAGCACAAGAACTAGATGTACTCATCCACACTAATGGTCATTTCTTTTCTTAATTTTGACAAGATCTAGTTGTTACACTGGAATCAAACAATATCAAATCCAACGACAGAAGAGTTCTTTTTCACTATCCTTTCCTTACCTAAGCCATCAAAACCTCATTTGATGCATTCCACTAATCAAAAGGACCAAGTTACGGCAGTACCAACATGAAATCACCTGAACGTCGACTTATTTCAGAACCAAAAGAAACGGAAAAGGGAAAGAAAATAATCGAGCACGTATAGAAACAATAAGGGAAAAAAGCGAGGAGAGGGGGACGCACGAGTAAGTGCCGATGAGGGGGATGAGCAAGAGGGTGGCGCTGAGCCAGTTCTCCGTGACCTTGTGCTGGATCTTGCCGGGGAGATCCTTCCACAGCCCGGGCATCACCTTCTGCTGGAACGGCGACAATACACCACCGCCTTCATCCGCGCCGGCGTCTTCCCCATCCTCCTCTTGTCTCTCTCTCTCTCTCTCTCTCGCTTTTATTTGCAACGTAAACGGGTCGGGCGAGTCAGGTCGGATCCAAATTAGTACCAGTGGAGGAGTAATCAAGACCCGTTAATTACACTAACGGGCCGGCGAAGGGCTAAAAATCGCAGGCGAAGTCCACGGTTTCGTCCTAAAATGGGTAAATCATTTGACCGTTGACAAAATTCACGTGGGAATATTTTGACCACGTGACTAGTCATGAATGTCGTCACGCTCACATGTCTTCACACCGCAATCGATGGGAACATCAAATAATGGTTTTCGAGGAC